GATCGGGAAAAATGTTACTGTTTAGTTAAAGAATGTGTGAAGTATTGTTAAACTATGAAAGAACCATAGTAGATGTGTGATTACCTCAAATTATCTTATCGTTTCGAATAGACAAACATATAGTCCTTAGAATATCGAATGGTCTCTTCAGTGGATTACAGACACTTTCTCATATCTAACATGTTCTAGTCATACTCTGAGTAATATAAATATTAAATCCAATTTGGAAGTTACCACTTTTTGTTAATTTATATGAATATGTCAGCCGATATGTTAATAGGTATGAAAACTGAAATCTTGACTTAAGCTCTAAAATAGAATAACATATATTTATTGCACTTGTTAAGCAACAACATTCAAATGTTCGTTAATGGAATTTATCTTAAAAAAAATACAAAAGTAAAACATATGCCATGTAGCGCTATTAACATTTGTCGGTTGCGTTATAAGACAACCCATTTTTACAGTTATTGTCTTAAAGCCGTTCTTCTTGCCAAACATGCGCATTAAAGCACATATTTGCCATAAATTTATTTGCTTAAAAAATTATTTTTATAAATATCATAAAATCATAAAATCAAACACAAACACACATAACCTCAATCTCAATTCCAACCTCAGCTTCAGCTTCAGTTTCAGCCTCAGCCTCAGCCTCAGCCTGAGCAGAATGGAAGAGGAAAAATTATCTGAATTTGAAATGCAACCAAATTGGCTAGGTGGCTAGGTTGCTCGCCACCTCGGCATAGTTATGCGCATATTTAATGTAGTACCTTCATGCCACAATTTGGCTTCAAGTGCTACTACTACTTCCAACCACAATGCTTTTAGACTAAATATTTACAATGGACAGGCGGGCAACATGCAACGCTGGTGGCTTGTTGAATTGTTGGTAATCGTATCGTTGGTCGTAATCGTCGGCTTTGGTGGATGGATGAATTGTTGGATTTTTTATATTGGGTGAGGTTGGACGCGTTTCTGATATGCGCATGCGTCCAGTTTTTACAGTTTTACTTCACCTATACTACTAACTGCACTTTTTTATTCTTTTTTATATGCATAACTCAAGACTTGCTAGATACTAGTATCTTTATAGGTTTTATTTTTGTTGTTATTATGGTTTTTTATGTGCAGAGGAAAAAAAATTTTTGTTTAAATCTGCCATCCATAGTTGCGGTATCTTTAAGTTACTTAAATAAATGATATTTATGCTTACACGAGCGTTACTAACCAAACGAGCAGAACTTGGCTAACTTGGACCAGTGTGCACTGTACCCTTATAGCTGAATCTTATTTTGGTTTATGTGGATTTTATTAAAAAAAAAAACAACAACCAACTACCAACTACCAACGTTAAACTGTAGGTACACTTGCGCAAGAAACTATCTCAAGGAGGAAGCTGCCGCATATTAAAATACATGCTACATTACAGCACTTGTTGTTACTGGCTGATATTATTCTTGTATACATATTTAATGTTGTTGTTGTTGTCATTATTGTTTTTGTTGGTTTTGTTACGGCTAGCATATATGATTTTAGCAGACCAAGCAAACCAGTTGCAATGATTATATTAGAAAATCTAACTGTATCTATGAATTAGTTGGTGCCTGCAAATCTTGTGCAGTTTTTCCATAAACCTGCAAGACAAGACATAAGCACCAATAGCAATAACGACATACATAAGTAAGTAACAACAACAACAAATAACAAAGCAGAAGCACTTGCTGCAAATGCTTAAGACAGTTGCATTTTATTAGTTTCATTGATCGCAGGCAGCAGTCAGTCGGGCATTCAGACGGGCTGGCAGGCGGTGTAAAGTGAAAAAAAAAATTTCAAATCAAATCAGCTTGATTTTTCTACAAAGCCACAAACAAATATTTTTTTTTTTTCCTCAGAGTAATCTCAAACTAGTCCCTGTTTGCTTCCCTGCTTGCCAGCCCACCAGTTTGCTGGACTGGCTGGCTGCCTTGCTGCCTGACTGCCTGCCTTCCGTAGTGCGCTGATATTTACCTTAAGATTAATGCCAGCACATCGTAAAGTAAATTGTTGTCCTAAAAACTAAAGAACATTTACTTAAGCCTGTCCGGCCATTGTTGCCTTTTAGGGGCAATTGGTTATTAAGCTGCTGCTTCTGCCTTTGCTATTGCTTCTGCTGTTGCTGTTGTTGTTGTTGCTGTTGCTATTTTTGCTATCATTGCTGCCTTTTGTTTGCTATAAGGCAGAGGCTATCTTTACTTTTTTCGCAGGAGCATGTTTACAAAGCTATGTCAACAATTTTATTGCCGTTCCTTATTCTGCAACAATTTTTTCCTGTTATCTTAACAGTTGTCTTCTGTTTAGTTCTTTTTTTCCTGCTACTTTTTCTTTTTATTTTTGTTTAAATATTTTTTTTTTGTAAGGAAAAGGCCAAGTTGCTGTGCACTAGAATATTTCAAATATGCAACTTTATTCTGGGCACAATGAGCCTAGGCTGGTTGGTTGGGTTGGTTTGGTTGGTTGGATGACTGCTTGTATTATCTTAGTTGGCTTTATTTTTCTGCTGCCACTGTAATTGTGATGTTTACAGTTGTACAGACGTTTTCTACATAATTCAAAAGTTGTTGATATAATCTTTAATGCCATATAAATCCCGTAGAGACACTTTAATAAAATTCCTAAGCATTCTCTACTTATAAGTTTTTATGCCTCAAAGTTACTATTTTTTTTTTACTGCGAGACGAGATACTTTTGCGATCTTATGCGAGACTTTCTAAGATTCTTAAAAGCCGATTGGGTTTTTTAGTAATTTGGACAACCTTTATGCAGTTGGCAGATTGAACTGTGCTACAATACAAAGGCTGGGTGAAAGTAAGTAATGTAAATTATTTGCGATATGCATCTCTTTAAGTGCTTATGTGTTGCATTTGCTTTAAAATTTATGAGAGACTAAAATATTTTATATTCATTATTAAAATTTAAAATTATTTTATTGACGCAATGAAACTCTAATTATTAAATACTCATGGACTTTGAGTATTTCTATAACTTTAACTGTCTGTATCAATGGTAGTATTAAACCTACATTACACAGTTTTAGTTATTTATCCAATATGAGATATCCACTTACATATCACTACTTGGTATACTTATAGCACATGGGTTTGAGGTCTCATTTTGTTCCCTACAAAACCTATAAGTTCCATTGCAGTAAGTTTCAAATACCTCTGCTGATCTTTCGGTCACAGCAACCGGTGGTGTATAAGCAACTCCACACCAAATGAATGGTATACATTGTGACCGAAAAGTTTCCTTTGCGTTTTAAATAAAACGCAAAATTCTTAATCTTCATCAATATTTATTTTATCTCCTTCAAAATATGCTCCATTAGAAGCGATACACAAATGCCAACGTTTCTTCCAATCATCAAAACATTTTTTATAGGCGCTTTCCGGTATGGCTTT